TGCGCTCTTGATAACATGCATGGTTATTGAAGTGCGCCTCACATCCGTTTAGAAACGCGAAGTTAAGCTAAAAAAAAAAACAACAAAAACAAACGGGCAAATTATTACTTTAGCATTCTAAGACATTTTTTTATATCATCCTATCCTATTGGATGATCATGAACTCAAAACACAAGATTACTTTTTAAAAAAGAGGCTACAGGTGTTGGTGGAAATAAAGAGATTCTGATGAGAGGGATATGTTGGCCTATCATGCAAAAATTACTTATATTTAATTACTTTAATTAATTACTTTAAAATTATTAATAGTATTTTTTCTGATCAATCATGATCAAAACAGTCTGCAGAAACACTTTGACATTCTCTCTTTGAACGTGTCATCAGAGGGGGAAAGCCCCGTCCACTAGTAAATATCTCTGCCTCATTAACATAAACTGCAGCCCTGAGTGAGAAGCAGCCGTCTGTCCCAAATTCACTTTGAATGGGTGACGTCAAGCATTGCCGAACTGCATTGTGGATTCGTTGCCGCTGCTTCAGTGGCATTGTTCGTTGCGGAAGTTTGGCCTTGCTCAACTTTTCAAGCGCCGACGGACGCTGCCCTGACAATCGTGTCAGCCCCAACTTCAGACACGCCCTCTGTCAAGCGTTGACACTGAAGCCCCGAGTGAATCGGGCGCTAGAGTGTTGAGCTGCTGAAGATAATGTCAGCATAGATAAAGAGGATTATAGATGTGGAGTTAAGATGAAGCACAAATAAACAGCAACAGGAGCGACATAGACTGACACACAATTCGCCCGGATGCAGTGGTGCGAATTGAGCATTTCTCTTGTAGGGCCGTGATTATGTTGTAGTGCCTGTTGTTGGTGTTCCAAGAGAAAATCCTCCTTCCGACACCAGACAACAGTTCATCAAACTGGGCTCGGCTCAGTCAGAAGCACAGCTGAAAGCTTCCATCTTCCACGTACAGTTTCTGGAGAAGTTATTGAACTACTGGTGCACCATAAAATCCATGTTAACCATTTAGCAACGAAGACAGAGTCACTGGGCAGACACGAATTAACTTTTCTTGTAAAGTGAATTTTACGTGCAAATACAGCGGAATTGATGCACAAATGAAGCAAGTAAACTTAAAATGTGTCTATTTACGCATGAATAGCAATATAAATATATATGTAGATATATATAAAGGTCAGTTTCAGAGTTAGAAAACATTATTTTTGTGGTATTTTGAGGTGAAAATTCACACACACGCTCTAGTGACGTCATAGACATATTTTAAATATCGTAAAAATATACATAATAGATCTCTATTAATGGCGTTTTGCTATACTCTCTTTCTCTCTGCAGGTCTCTGAATATTCTCCTCATTAGCAGGAGTGTTGTTCACTGTTGAACAAAGCAGCAGATGTAAAGCAGCAGAGCTTTTGCTTTCCCAGACAACATCGGGTTTAACTGTTAAGTTTTAAGCTTTGATAACCGCTTTGTTTTAAGCCAATAACCACATATGAAGTGCCAGATAATTTCTATTTTTTCCTCCTGTTTTTAATGTTAGTCTGCTAGAGTTGAGACAATGATGTTTATTTTCATATTTCTTTTGTTATTTTATCTGTAATTATTTGCTTTAACATGTCTGGTTTTGATAAGCCTTCAATAAAATCATTTCTGAAGTATTAGGTTTTGTCTGGTGTTGATACTAATGTCAAATTCAACCCTTTTGATATTCTGCTATTATCATGAGTTATTGTTTTATGAGTTGTTGAATTCATTCATTAGTTTTCAGATTAGTACCTTTATTAATCAGGGGTTGCCACAGCGGGATGAACCGCCAACTTATGCAGCATATGTTTTACATTGCAATTACCCTTCCAGCTCTCATTCACACACACACACACACACACACACACACACACTACAGACAACTTAGCTTACCCAGTTCACCTATAGCACGTCTTTGGACTTGTGGGGGAAACCGAAGCACCAAGAGGAAACCCACACCAACACGGGGAGAACATGCAAACTCCACAGAGAAATGCCAACTGGCCCTGCTGAGGCTTGAAGCAGCGACCTTCTTGCTGTGAGGCGACAGTGCTACCCACTGCACCATTAAGTTATTGAATTATGTATGTTATTTCAAACTTAAACACACTAGTAGATTACATGCATACTGTAAAAGCTGGCTAACATTTCGATAAAAACAACACGGTGACAAATACACAAAGCAAGAAAAAAATTATCATGATAGTAGTAGTCATTTGGTCAGAAGTCAGGGCACTTATCAGGGAGTGAGCCATTTTAAGGACTCTCAATCAGAAATTCATTCCACGGAAACGTTAAACTACTGAAAACTCCCACAATACACTGCGAAACTTAGGGAGCATTAGTGCTCATTATGAACCCTTAACCAATTTTTTTTAAACATTAGTCACACGAATTAACTCTCCAAACATAACATTCAAGAGCTGTTTTTTTTTTTTTTTTTTAAGGCTTTTGTTTGCATAGTTAGGCATTAACACACAAAGATCTTACAGATCAACATTGGTATGTGAAAATACATGTGTACATGAATTGACTGATTCTAAGAGTGCTTTCACACCTACGCTTTTGTTTCGGAACCTGTCTCGTTTGCCCAGTTAGCCCAGTTCGTTTGGCATATGTGAAACCAGCAATCGCGCTAGGATCTGCGGCAAATCAATCGCTCCGAGATTGCTTGAACGAGGTGGTCTCGGCTCGATTGAAACAAACTATGAAGCGGATAGACTGCAGTGAGAAAGCGATACGATCCGGGCACGGTTATATCTCAGTGTTTTATGCATATGTAATAGGTGTAACGGAGCAAAGAAATATGGTAAATTAATGCCTAAATGGGGACAGCGCCTTTTAGAGTGTGCGTTGTGTAATAAGTGCGTGGAGTAGAGAGACTGTGGGTAAGTTGCACGTTTCTCTACTTCAAACTAGTTGAGTTAATAAATAAATAACTCAATAAAGCTTAAAAATAAGCCAGAAAAGCACCAAATATTTTTAAATTAACCATTGGGTTAAATAAATAACAACATTTTTTAGAGTGTATGAGAACATTCTAGCAAACACATAATATTTAGTTGATGAAATATGGCGGGTACAACACAAATGCTTTATATTATAACATACTTTAGGCATAGTCACAAAAAACTATGTATGTGCTGTTGTTGTTCATAAATAGTAGTAGGCAATGAACCAAGAACCAAGCCCTTTACTGTCCTTACCTGTGGGTGTACTCCCGAACACGACATGCTGATTCATTTACGACCTTAGAAGCGAGCTGATTGAAACCATTCGCGAAATTAGCAAAACTGACCAACTCTATTGTTGACGTTTGAAAATGGCGCCTTTTGTCGGTGTGTCAAGCGCTCTGCGTCACGTGCTAGAATATTATTGGTCAACGATTGCTTAACAAGGCTTAATTGTATGGATTCTGATCATTTTAACTCTCTAATCGTGTGGATTATTTCTTATCATAATTTGACGTTCGCATTTAATCCACTTTTAAAAAGACAACAACAAAAAATAATAATAATAAAATACTGCGATGGTACAAGATGACCAGCAGGTGGCGCAAATAGACCAGTCATTGTGTGAAATACTGACGGGCTTTTACAACATGTTTTCATGCACCCTTAGCATAAACTATTGTGTAGGTAATTAGATTTGTCAAAAATGGTTTTGCAACAGTCCCCATAGTTTAACCATTGTATTTCTGGTAAAATCTAGTAAAAAAATCTATTCTAAAAAATAAATAAATACAACAAATTATAACAAGATTTATACTATATTACTGTTTAGTATCCTTTAAAATTCTGCTCACAGAACTGTTTTGCTCATGATTTGAATGTAAGTTTGTTGACTAATGAAGATCTGCTGCTTATTTTCAATTTACTGGCAGATTCTCATATTCAGAAGAGCTCGCCTGGTGAACAGCAGGGCTGGGATGGACAGTCTAAAAGGAAAACACATTATTTATTGCCGGACTCTTGGATAAACAAATGAATTTGCATATGCAATTTTTTTATTTTTGATATGCAGTTTTTTGATTCTTCACTTACAGTGAGTGTGTTGTACAGGTCAGAAGATCTGGATTGGAGGTCAAGACCTGCATATGTGTTTGCACTGACACCATCATTCTACAGGGAAAAAAAAGAGAGTGAATAAAGGAAAATAAAGGCTCATTTTATTATTTTAGTGATTTTATTTTGTAGTTGGTTCATCATGTCACCTCATAAATGTTTGGAGATGATCTTCTGTTCATTCTTTTCCTTCGACTGTCAAAAAAAGCAAATTATAGTCATGTGATTGTATTGTAAATTGACCTTTTCTTGAACTGACACATTTGGTGAAGGGGTTTGAGTGGCTGAATGATCATCTGAGCTATTTTGTCCAGGGCTAAATGCCCCTGGTAGGGTCTCCCAAGGCAAAAGGTCCAAGGTGACAGGTCAGACTAAGTTTGGTTTGAAAATTAGTTATGAGTAAATATAAAGACAGAGACATTCCCCAGTATAGCACAAACAGGGCCTAACCCAAGAGCTTGAGCAGGAGGTTGAACATTACCAACTAGAAACAGTTGGGCTTACCTCCAAGCATAGTTTGACCTCTGGGAATGAGAGCTCTAGAAAGACTCTAATGCCACGTCACTCATAATAGTTATTCTGTCAGCTTATAACAAAATAATCCATTTAAATAATCTGTTTTACTGAACTATGTAGGTGACATAGTGGAAGTTCCCCTTAATCCTCCCCATCAGCACCAGGTTGGCCTGGTCTCTACTTATGCTTGGGGATTGGTTCTTAATCTTCAGGCAAGATCTGCCAATTCTTCCAGAGTCCTGCATCATATGGCCAGAGCAGGATAGGTCACACAGTGCATGTTGAACTCAGGCCTGCCCTTTATCACCAGTTCTGTTAATTGTAGACATGATTTATAGGTGCAACCTTGGGTCAGAGGGGTCTAGTTCAGGGACCAAAGGATTTCAACTCTGCTATTTGCAAATGATGTTGTGCTGTTGGCTCAATTGGAGCTGGACCTTCAGAACGTATAGGCATGATTTGTTGCTCATTGTGACACGACAGTGGTTAGAATCAGCACCTCCAAGGCCATCCTGCTCAAACTGAAAAAGTTGGAGGAAATTCCTTGCCCCATGTGTCTAAGGAGTCTGCTCACTAGTGAGGGAAGGATGTAACCTGACATGATGGCAGTAGCATCAATGTGGTCAATTTATTGCTTTGTTGTGCCTCTTGATTTAAAGGTCAGTCTGCATTCCTACTCTCACCTATATAGTCATAAGCATTGATCATGACCAAAAGGTCAAGATCTCGGATACAAGTAGCTGAAAAAAGTTTCCTTTACAGAGTGGCAGAGTGCACCCTCAGAGTGAGGAGCTCTGTCACCCGGGAGGAGTTCGGAGTAGATCCGCTGCTCCTTTACATTGAGAGAAGCCTGTTGAGGTGACTCAGGCAACGTTTCTAGACAGGGGTTCCAGGCTTGTCCCACAGGGACAGGCTTGTCTCATGTCCTGGGGACAAGACCCAGGTTATGTTGGAGGGACTACTGTATGTCTCTCTGCTTGCCTGAAAAGCATTGGTATCCTCCCTGAGGAGCTGGAAGAAGTGTCTGGGTAGCAGAGATTCTGAGTTTCCCTGCTGAGACTGATCATTCTGCATTAGTTTAACAGTCAGTATTATGTATATGCTGCTTATTTTGCTTACATTACGAATAGTATGGTCGTGATAATAATGATGATGATGAATAATCCTCCAGATGTTGCTGTGATCACGCTTGTAATAGTACTTCGATGAACTGAAAGACGAAGAAGATCATTATTAACTCTCGAGCCTGATGAAGTTACAGAACTGTCATGACAAAAGATTCACCAACTTGTCTGACAGCATCTGAAACAAGATCTTTAGAAAACAAATTGAGCGTTCATGAACTCACACGGGACATCTAAAGTCACAGGATCAGAGTATTTCTCTCCATGGTCATTTCTGGCTCTACACTTGTATTCTCCATTGTCATCAGAGCTGATATTTGAGATGCTGAAGATTCTTCTAGATCCTACAAGTGTTTCTCCTTTAAACCAGTTGATTTCTGCAGGAGGGTTTGAGTCACTGCTGCAGCTCAGAGTCACTGAATCTCCAGACATTATTACAGCAGATCCACTGATGGACACTGAGACGCTCTTGGGTGAATCTAGCACAGAGGAATGTTGATATTAAAGCAACAAGAATAAATTTGTCATAAAAGTCTATGTTTTAATAATTGAATGTCACAGTTGTTATTGTTAACTCACACTGGACGTTTAAAATCACAGGATCAGAGTATTTCTCTCCATGGACATTTCTGGCTCCACACTTGTATTTTCCACTGCCATCGAAGCTGATCTTTGAGATCTTGAAGGTTTTTCCACGTTCAATATATTTTTTTCCTTTATACCACTTGATTTCTGCAGGAGGGTTTGAGTCACTGCTGCAGCTCAGAGTCACTGAATCTCCCTCCATCATTACAGCAGATCCCCTAATGGAGATCACAGGGATCCCTGGAGAATCTTCAGGTGAATCATGTAAAAACAAAGTTGTGAAAATTAATACAAAGATAAGTTTAAAAATATACACGCTACTAAATGTATTATGGACTTAATATCTAAATGTAAACATTGGACTGTGAACAGACTCAGCTTTTCATTCACTTATTTGGGAATTTTTCTTTCTTCTCATGCGGCACAAAACACTTCCAAAACCTGCAGAGTAATGTATTCACAATCTTCTCATGCTACTGGTGTGCTTTCATCCATCACTCACTCCACCAAATTGCTTAAATTGTGTATTGCTATTGAACATGCAAACAAATCCATCATGCCTTTGTGGGCAATTTGAGAAGGCTGTATTTCAGCACGACTAAGATTTTTTGATCAAAGCATTGTTGATAGTGTAACAATCCGAATGTGACAACGGAGGTGAGAATCCAATAGCAGAGTCTTTATCACACAAGGAATGGTCAGGTAGGCAAGGGTTGATCACAGGAGTAAACAGTATTATGTGTCAAATTCAAAATTCAAAGTTTAGCCTATTAAAGGGCCATGACACCCCCCACTTTCGGTTAGAGTCTACTTCAGAATTTTTTCAAAAGATGCATGATTAATGGGCGTGGAGCTCCGCGAGCATCGGGCAGGAGTGGGCGTGGCCAGCAGGGGAGAGAACAACTGTTGTTGACAGTTAGCTCACGAAATGAGACAAACCGTGAGGAGACGCATGAGTTTATAGTTCACAAAGTTAAAATGCAAAGAAATAAACAGTGATTTAATGCCCTGCTACATTTGTTATTCGTAATTTCATATACACATAACCACAATTTATATAATTATAAAGATAAGTGTGTTCATGTAAACACTATAAATGAGGATTCTCCCTCGATCCCCGGGTCTATTATAGATCTTGAATGCAGACTCAGTGCAGCAGGTCTCCTGACCTGCCTATTTTAACCATTAGCCCTGCTGGTAATCTGGAGGATTTAGGCGAACACAGCAGCACGGCGATGTGTCTGAATGTGAACGAACTCCTGATAAAACACAGCGTCCGCCATTCTCTAATTCTCGTGCTGCTCTCCCGACAAAAATGCCAGCAGCACACACACAGTTTTGCTGTATGATCGGCCCTGACAAGATCGCGGGAGAAAACATGCAACAAACCGCGTGGATCATGGAAACAAACTCATATGAGCCTTCATGAATGGCTAATGCATTCCGTGGGTCCGTGACTCCGTGTCTCACAGCTTGCTTGAAACTGGCAGGTCTGCCTTCGGAAAGCACGTGCTCTCATGAATAATTAAGCAGCCGGCTCTTCTCATAGGATAAGAAAACTCCGCTATGAATAATAATGAGAAACTGACGCGTCATCATTGCACTTGCAGTACTGCGCTACGTCGCCGATTTTGATCCCGCCCCAAAAATCATTTTAAACCCGGAAGCTGAAATTAGCTGACAAAAGCTCAAAATTATCCAGTTTTCCCCACAATTAAAGCTGACAGGTGCTAACATTGTCTTAACTGATGCTCAACACACACACATCTGTTAATATTTAAAAAAAAAGTTATCCAGGGTGTCCTGAACCTTTAAAAACAAATGGCCTATACAGAAATTAAATAAAGCTATAAAATCTATTTAACTTTTAATTGTATTTGGATATTGATTAAAGTTATTATAGTTATTTAGTGAAGAGCGGCAGATCAAGCTCTCATTGTGTTTTGTTTGATAACAGAGGTGTTCATGTAAGAATGCACAGATCTATAATGAAGCATTCGACTACTTTAGAAAATGTTTGTGCTCATTTAAGAGAAAATTTGTTGTGTTTCAAATAAAACACGCAGGACGGAGCCAAAAAAAAAGGAAAAAAAAGAAGCACTTTTCCGACGGTCCCTTACTAAGAGCTCCGCTCTGCCAAGCTCTTCCGGCTAGATGGATATTGCGAGGGCTTAAAGAGCAGTGGTCGTAATGTTGAGCGAAAAATAAAAGAAAAAGACAGCTGTGAAACATAACCAGCTTGGTCTTTTTGTAGGAAACACACTTTAGATCATTTTAGGGTAAGAGATTTTTGAGTTATTGCCGTCTTTCACTGAATGTGTCAGTCAGGAATATCGAAAACAAAACCAACCTAACTGCGCACATTTCAGGCGCCCCCCTGGATGTACAGCGCCCTTAGCATTTGCCTATACTGCCTATCTGTCAGTGACCACCTGAGGGCGCTGTAGTTCAATGGACAATGAGTGAAACTACAGCGTCCATAAAGACTACATTTCCATGCATTCTTTCATGCACACACCCGGTCTGTCATTTACATTGATTACAACCACAGCTGTTTCAATTCTCCGTGATTACCAGAACTATATATATTTAGTCATTCAACCACAATTTGTCATCGCGTCGTTTGTCTTTCTTGTACCCAGTAAGTCTGTTTTTCCTAGTTGTTGTTCCTGATCTTGCCTTGTATCTTGCTTTAGTCTAGTTCATGTTTATCTGTCTTAGTTTCTTGTTTTGTTGTTTATTTGTTACTTTGCACTTTGATATTTTGGATTTTTGTTCACTGTTTTTGCACTTTAATATATTAAAATCTGCACTTGAATCCGCCATCTTTTGTTCCCGTTTTTGTTATTGTTTTGATCACGCCTAACGTGACAGGCCGGCCCTGTAAATAGGGAAACTTCTCGTACGCACAGACATCCATTAGCCTATACATAATTAATTTAGTTTGTTAAAGGTTTGTTTCAAAACTATTTTTAAATTCAGTTCTAATTTCCAGCAAACGAATAAATTAACTATAATAACGAAGCGTGCTCAGTTATATCCTAATACACCTGCTGTGCCCCATATGGTCCAAAACCTGACAGGAGGACAAAGCTAAGCTTGTTTTTAATAAAACAAATATAAATATGTATATAATAAATAACACTGCTAATAATTATAACATTATACAAAAGGAAATTGTCATGAATAAGCTGAAAAAGCCCCCAAGATGAAGAAGGCATGAAAGCAGGGGTTTTTATATTTGCCTAGAAAATAATTTTGGTAATATTTTAATCTTTAAATTCTTCTTCATCTGTAAAGATATTTGTGTTTTGCTGTTCATCCGGTGTGTATTAAGCAATGTATAAGCGAGGCGCACAACTAACGCGCTCTGCGCTGAACTTTAGACCTGTTCTCAGCTGGTCTATTGCAGTGCATTAGTTCCTCAAAATAGCAAAGCGTCAGCATTGCGCCTTAACACACCTCCTCTTTTAGATCAGAATGCCTATGGGTGCACATATGAGCGCAAATGCATTTGCCATTTAAACAGTGTGGTGGTGCAAAATGTCAAAATGACTCTGGCGCCAAGCTGAAACTAGCAAACAATTGCGTTGCGCCTTGCGCCAGGTGTATGATAGGGCTCAGTGAGTTTATGTGCTGTATAAATGGTCCAACTAATCCAACCCGGGCTCATTGTGGAAAGGTAGCCCCGCGGCCGTTTCTGCGGACAGCGATTTACGTCCCGGGAGGTACGTATTCGAGCGTTTTTTTGTTTTCGCGGATCCGCGACAGGCCGCTGTGCGCGCTTTTTTGTGTCTCGGGCAGGCGCCTCTCGGGATCGCGCGAAAAGCCGCCGGATCGGGGAAAAAAAAAAAAAAAAAAGCAAAAGCCCTCGTCTTCAATTTCAACCGCCTTTTTGGATCCCGCCGCGTTCTCGCCCTTATTTTCCGGATTCCGTTTTTCGTCTTACCTGATTTCCGGAACCCGCCGTTCCCCGGACTCTAACCCGGTCGTCGTCGTCCTCCTCCTCCTCCGGGGCCTCCGGACAAACTGATTGCGTCGGGAAAGCCCTCCACTCGGAGGCGAGCCGTCGGCCGGCGAGCGCGAAGAGGAGGGGCGGAGTGGCGCCACACCGCCCGGCAGCGTTCGCTCGAAAAAAAACAAACGCGGCCTTTACGTACCTCCGGCCACGTAAATCGCGGTCTCCAGAAACGTCCGCGGGGCTACGTTTCCAGAATGAGCTTGGGTTGAACTAATTAGTCTTTAAGCAGCTTCAGCTGTGTGAGTGTAATCAAACTGCATCAGGAACCGGTGTGTGTGTGTGTAGTGCATGACAGGAACTTGTAGTTCTTGAAAAGGCGGATTTGTAGTCCGTTAGCGATCTGTGTGTATACCAGCGATCTGCACAGGCGAAACAAATAGTAGTTTGATTAAATAAAAGAGCCCTCAGATGCTGTGCTTTATATGTGGATATGATATCTATATGTTATATTGCTCACATATGGATAAATATGAGCAATATAAGCAACGCAGTTGTAAAATGTAGTTTAAATTCACACATACACTGAAAAAAAAGTGTTGCATGCAGAACTGTTGCAAATAATTTGTTTGTGTTGAATTTAAACAAACAAATTAAGTTTAGTAATGTTTAAATTCAGCCCAAATAAATTGTTTACCACCTCTTAACATAAAGAAATTGAGTAAATCCAAGGAATAATCTTTGAATAATTTTTTTCAGTGGGCTAGAAAGCATTTCCTAAGACTACACATAAGATTACACATCTTTCATACCATATTGTGACATTACTGCACAAGTGAGTCAAACCCTTTACTTCTATTATAAGTCTGGATGCTTTAAAAAGGCATATACTAGCAGTTTTAAAAACGACGAAAACTTACATCTGACATCAAGATAAACAGCAGGAGAGGTGTAATTGTGTCCCTGCACACCACAGCTATAGTAGCCTGCATCTCTTCTACTGATTGAACTGTAGACGAGATCATTTTGAACACTCCCTTTAGTCAATGTCTCTGAGTTTCTGTACCAGATGAATGTTGGTGTGTCAGTCAGATTACATCTGCTGTTACATGTCAGACGGACTGAATCTCCCTCTTTCACTCTCTCAGGAGACTCCAGCTGAAGATCTGAACACAACACACACATTATATCTAGTGCTGCTCTCATACACTGATTATTATTCTACATAATGACCACAAGAAGAGAGAAACCTCAGGAGAGTCACCTGTGACAAAGAGACGCACTCCTGGAGTGCCAATCCATTCAGCTATATTAGTGGTTAATGTGAAATAATACTCATGTTCATCATTCTTTGTCACATGACTCAGTCTGAGGTCACAATTCTGCTGTTTATCACCAAGATACTGAAGCCTCTGACTGTATTCAGGGTCCTCAGACAGATCTGGATACTCCCCATACATCCCTTGAAGTTGTGTTTTAGTCCAAAAAGCTTTCGAGACAAAATGTAAAAAAGGATATCTGTAAGTGCAGCTCATTGTCACTGTTGAGTCCCTTAGTGCACAGATGTGTGGAGAGCCGTAACTCACACTAAAACCAAAAGTGCCATCAACTCCTGAAACACACATTAAGCAGATTTTCCATCTCATATTATTCTCTCACATCCTGTTCACGATCACTACTACACTAATATCCTTTACATTGAACATCATAAAGCGTGAAACATTCAGATATACATAGCCCTGAATACAGTACTAGTCATACTACTACTATTTTTGTCAATAAAACAAGCCACAGAGTTATTTCCATGATCAACTAACAAATGTTAAATAATTGGGTAACACTTTACAATAAGGTTCATTAGTTAATGCATTTAGTAACATGAACTAATCATGAACAACACTAGTACAGCATTTATTAATCATAATTGAACATTTACTAATGTATTATTAACATTAAAGTCCATGCTTGATAACATTAGTTAATGCACCATGAGTTAACATGAACTACTGTATTTTCATTTACTAACATGAACAAATACTGTAGTAAATGTGTCGTTCATTGTTTGTTCATGTTAGTAAATGCATTAATTAACATTAACTAATGAAACTCATTGTAAAGTGTGACCAATAATTCTCCATTGACTCACTGTGTATCATGAGCAGAAGCACCAGTGTAAGAGGAGCCGCCATTCTCACCGACATCACTACGAGATCACAATAACACACGCGTTAGCAGAAGAAAACAGCTTTAAAATGATCCTTTAATCACCATCTGTTCATCATGGCTTGTAAATATTTCTTGTTGGTATCCTCAACAGTAATAATCAGGCTATTTTCACAAATAAATCAGAGTAGCTCCTACTCCTGGTGACTCTGACCTTCAGCATTTCTCATGATTAACACTGTAGAATTAGAAATGGTTGTGCAAACAGACACAGTTTCTTCCTCTTTCTTTACTCCTGACGACACGGCTGGGTTAGGAAATAAAATTACTAAACAAGTTTTGAAAAGCACTGACTCTAAATGATTCATATAGGCGTGTTTGTGTGTTGCAATGCTTTCCAGTGCACATTAATGAATTCATAGATGGTGGTTGCACATTTAAGATGGACTTTTATTTTGAAATAAGCAATAACTTTAGTAGTAGCACTCATGGTGAACTCTCTCTCTCTCTCGAGACTTTGCATGTGTTAAACATTACTTTCTTGAGCCACGACAAGCGACAAGTCATTCATTTCCAATGGAGAGTATTCCGGGAGCTGCATGGAGTTCCTATCATATCTGTAGAAAATTCGGATCCGAATTGAGCCGCGGATACATTAAAATTATAGGTGGGCATAGATATATTTTTTAAATCTAGATTAATCTCACTGTAATCTTGGAATTAATCTAGCTCATTTGAATTCTGCCGAAGGCATTCGGAATTTGTGTGCTACCCAAATAATCACTAAAAGTAAGTCATGTTTCTCAAGCCAGGTGGCGCATTTGATCAGGGGCGCATCTCCTTTTTCCAAAATGCATCACAAACTGCTTTAGAAACTGTTCTACTCTGATAATTGATGATAAAAATAAATGATGTTCAATAAGATGTGCTTGTGTTTACTTAATGTTTATTCAGTTAAACATGAATGTTGAACTGTAGGCCTACATAAGCTCCAAACAGCCATATTTGTTGATCTAATCCGACTAAAGTCATCACTGAACTAAACAGAAATGGAATTAAGGCATGTTGAGTATGCAGATATTAGTGGCATTATTGAAGTAAACACTGCAATCAAACTATTACCAAAATGTAGGACTTTTTGCCATATTTTCCAACAAGATCCACACATGCGGCTGTCAGTAAAGGACTGCACACACATGTTTTTTTCTTTTCATTAGGCATATGTGTTATTATATTCCATAACACTCTTAGCAGTCCTTACTCCTTATTTCCATCTAACACCCCAGTTTGTCACGGGGGCATGAATGAAATGTTCATGAGGGAAGGTGAAACTGCCGAACTGCAGTTAAAGTCACCCAAAATGACAGAAAACTCTTACATGAAAGCACTTCACGTAAACACCTTAGTTATATTATTGTCTATTAAAGTCAATAACTAGACTACAGATGTCCATGTAAGCATAGTTAGTATGTCTTCGAAGTAAGAGAAGGATTCAGAAGGGCATCCTGCTGACTTGATTCAGAAGGGCACTGTTTTTGTCAGACGGCTCACTGGTCAGGTATACATCCGCGCTAAAATATCAAGGTCAAAGACATCATAGCTTGCGTAGAATAGTCCCAGCTCCCAACCCAACTTTGAGAATAGATTAACAGCAATTTTTTTTAATCGCTCAATAAAAGTCTTGCGTTAATGCCGATAACAACCTACAACTATTTGAAATATTTAACTCCTGCAACTAGACTGTATGCGACCAGCCAACCGGATTTATTTCAGTGTTGTCCAAGAAAGTCAGTGTGTGCGAGATGGGAAATATATATTTTTGTTATTATTTTATTTTATTATTTTGTTATTTAATTTTATTCATTATATTTTTGCTATTTTTTTAATCAGAAAAAAAGTCTATATTAAAAAAAAAACATTTCTATTTAGAAATGAGTTCTAAAAAAATGATTTCATATGTTGTGTCTCCACATTCCCTCCAAAATATTTAGTGGTCTATGAGTTTCTAGTATTCGTTCATTCAACCATGGTGAACTCACAGAGAATAAAGGCTCTTGCTTTTGCACTCCATTATTTCAGACACTGCGAGAACAGCTTCTCTCCCATGGTGCACGACAACACTGAAAATTGTGTGACTGCCACAACAGGACGTATTCCAACAGCCGTGTCCAAATGTTGTGTGCAGTGGAAAGGCGGCTTAACACACAAATATTACCCTATTCTTTGCATAAATGCATTAAAACTAAATTTCTGCTATATTCTACATAAACAACAATCATTTTAATCACATGAACCCATATTACTCATGTGCAGACTTGTAAATCAATGCATAACAATAGACTTTTAAACATTGTAATATATGTCCATAACGTAACTTACATTTAAATTGCTTCATTTTTAACTCAACTTATAATAAAAAAAAAAATATCTGCATGTAATTACATTTATATTTTAATATATTATTAAGTACACTGTTGACCCAGCCCTTACACCTTAACTCATCACCATTGACCGTTGAATCAGGAAACTGTTTTTTTTTTTTTTTTTTTTGGTCACAATTCAGTCAAGACATCCATTTCAAATTTAATTTTGTTTATTACACTCAAAGATTTGATTCAAAGCTATTTTTAATATTCAGAAAATACATAAATCAAATGTGGTCAAAACACTGTGAGCTTCCACCATGACCTACATCCAAATCCACGTTCAAATTCCTTGCCCCTATATATATATATATATATATATATATATATATATATATATATATATATATATATTGTGATGCATACATTTCTATAAGCCGACAGGTAGACAACTCTAAACAATAAAAATATAAACACAAATTTAAATATGCATATAACAATAACAACAATAAAGTAATGTAATTTTGTCATGAACAAACTAGCTACAACAGAGCTGGACTTACTAAAGCCCCCTAAAATGAAAAATGTGTGGGAAAAGGTAGCAGTATTTATATTTATGTATACAATAATACACATTTTAATCCTTGAAATGTTCATATTTCAAGATATTTGTGAGCTGCTGTGCATCCCTGTGTGTGTAACAAGCAAAGTGTTTGCTAAGGTGCTCTAGACTAAATAACAAAAAAATAAAATAAAAATAAAAAAAGACATACACCAGCTTTTAATTGGTCAATGGTGTGGTCTTATTTCAGTTGCCACGAAATAGTAACATGGAAACAACGCTCCTCAACACACCTTTTTAGACAACATAGGCTGATTCTAAAACGTAGTCCTATATACATTTCTGGACATCGCGAATGATTTAGCCGGACAACTGTATGGCTGCATTTCATCTTTAAAACGAACGCTACAGGGCGGCATGACACTGTTCTCTTTCGCGGTTACCAACTGACCACTTACCTCCATATGGATGACTTTTCCATTGTTACTAGTTTGTCCAGTGGCTTGCCATGTACGTCGGCGGACTTGAGACCTAGCTTGACGTTGAACATGACAAAGGGGTTCGAGTCTGGCAAAGAATGGTTCCAGAAAACAGGTAAGACATAATAAAAAGTCAAAAAATGCAATAAACAAGTAATTAATAACGAGAATTTGGTAAAATCTGAAAACATGGTAAAAAAAACAGGCAAAGGCTTTTCTTTTCCTGGATTGCTTTTGAAAACACTATTGGTTGGGTTTAGGGAAGGAGGAGGGTGGGCCAGTCGAATGGTCAGTCAGTCTGTCAGTCAGTCGCCAGTGGCCTCTGGTGGGTTTCAGGAGAACAGCAAGCCCGATTGGCACTAGCGAGAGAAATCTGAGATCCCAAAAAGCGTAAACAGCGGCCTATGGCGGACTTACGTGAGAACAGCAGGCGCAAATGGCACCAGCGAGAAATCTGAGATCTTAAAAAGCATACACAGCGGCTTCTGGTGGATTCACGAAAACTAAAACTGCAAAAAAAAAAAACATACCTTCTGGGATGTATTCTGCTCTCTCCACATATGTATATAGGGGTATGTAATCAGAATGAGCCTGGGTTGTTAATAGACCAGCAGGCCTATGGGCACACAAATGTGTGCAAATGCAAGATGCAAATCATGCAAGATGTGAAAATGTTACCCACGCAAGGCTGAAACTAGCAAAAACACTTGCATCGTGCCTAGTGCTGTATTGCGCCAGGTGTATGCCCCATGTATGTAGATAAATGCTAAATTTAAATAAAGTTACACCTTTAGAACACAAAACCGTTTACATATTTAGTTTACAAAAGTTAGAGCACAAATGTTAAGTGTATATAGAAAGGATGTTTTTATATATGATATGATGTTCCAACACAATCTCACGGCAATTCGTAACTTTTTCATTTAGTGGCTAATTCGTATGAATTCGTACGATCTGATTCGTACAATTTAGTACGATTTGCGTATCCCCCAATGACGGTTGGGTTTAGGGGTGGGGTTAGGTGCCACGCCTCCTTTTTAAAATCGTACATTTTCTTACGACTGAACTCATACGAAGTCTTACCAATTAGCCACTAAACTGCCAAAACGTAAAATACTTACGTTTTCTCGTGAGATCAGGCTGGATGTTCAGCTATAAAAGCGCCCTCTACATGTACTTATAACCAGGTCAGATTTTCTGTGAAAAAATAAGTGCTTATTAATTTTGAATACAGCAACTATTTGTGTTATTTTATATATATATATATATATATATATATATATATATATATATATATATTTTTTTTTTTTTTTTTTTACTTAGTGTGAATTTTTACATTTCATTTCAGTTGATGATAATGTTTTTTGACCAATTGTTTTAGTCTTAGTTTAAATTTTTGTTCACTAAATGTTGTTTATTCTCTGATGACTAATGAAGATCTACTGCTGATCTCCCATTTGCTGACATATTCTCATATTCAGAAGAGCTCGTCTGGTGAGCAGCAGGGCTGGGAGTCTAGGGGAAAAACACATTATTTATTGCCTGACTCTTGGATGAACGATCTCTTTTACATGTGTAGAGTTTAATTCTCCACTTACAGTGAGTGTGTTGTACAGGTCAGGTGATCTGGACTGGGGGTCAAGACCTGCATATGTGTTTGCACTGAGATCAACATTCTACAGGGAAACAGAGAGAATAAATTAAGGAAAATAAAGACTCATTTTATTATTTTATTGATTTTATTTTGTGGTTCTTAAATTATTTCACCTCGTATTCGTTTACTGCAGATCTTCTGTTCATCCTTTTCATTCGTCTGTTAGAAAAGCAATAAATGTTTTATAAATAAATAGTAACATATCATTCTGCATTTATCTAACAGTCAATTACATGAATATGAGCTTTATTTTACGTACATCATAAATAGTAGTATAACGATGAATAATCCTCCACACGTCACTGCGATCACACTCCTTTTTCTCGAAGCACCTTGCTGCACTAAAAGATGAAGCAGATCACAATTAACTCTCCAGACTGATGAATACGTACCTCCCGGGACGTAAATCGCGGTCCGCAGAAACGTCCGCGGGGCTACGTTTCCACAATGAGCCCGGGTTGGTAAATACACATTTTTTATTAAAAAAAAAAACTTACATGTGACATCAAGATAAACAGCAGGAGAGATGTACTTGTGTCCCTGCACACCACAGCTATAGTAGCCTGCATGTCCTCTAGTGAATGATCTGAAGATGATTTCATTTTGAACACTCCCTTTAATTAATGTCTCTGAGTTTCTGTACCAGATGAATGTTGGTGTGTCCGTCAGTTCACAGCTGGTTTTACATGTCAGACTGACTGAATCTCCCTCTTTCACTCTCTCAGGAGACTCTACCTGAAGATCTGAACACAACACACACATTATATCTAGTGCTGCTCTCATACACTGATTATTACTCTACATAATGACCACAAGAAGAGAGAAACCTCAGGAAAGTCACCTGTGACAGAGAGAAACACCCCTGGAGTGCCAATCCAACTGGCATCTTTGTTAGTAATGAATCCGAAATAATACTGGTGTTCATCATTGTATGTCAAATCACTTAGTCTTACAGCACAGTTCTGCTGTTTATCTCCCAGATACTGAAGCCTCTGACGGTATTCAGGGTCCACAAACAGATCTAGATACTCTCTACCTATTACAGGGAATTTGGTCCAGAATGCCTTACTGACATAACTTCCATAAGGATGTCTAAAAGTGCAGCCCATTGTCACTGTTGAGCCCTTTAGTGCGCAGATGTTTGTAGAGCTGTAACTCACATCATAACCAGACTGACCATAAACTCCTGAAACACACATTAAATAAGTCATTCACACGAAATGATATGCTGTTCATGAACATTATTACAATAATTTCAACTGAGCATGATATATTTAATGTGCAGCATTTTAATACATTTTTCTTTTTATAAAATGCACATATTACTGGACTTTCAGTTAAAACAAAGAGTCACAAAGAGCAAGTTTTCATATATAATGTGTATGAATTCTCCATTGACTCACTGTGTATCATGAGCAGAAGCACCAGAGTAAGAGGAGCAGCCATTCTCACCGACATCACTACAAGATCACAATAACACGCATGTTAGCAGAATAACGTCTTTAAATATTTCTCAAGTTTATCAAGGCTTGTGAAAATCCTTTGTTGTGTCTTCAAAGGTATGAATCAGGCTATTTTCAGATATTAATCAGAGTAACTGTGTTAATCAGACTTACCGTGTTATGGTGATTCTGATGGTGTTCAGGCGTTTAACTGACGCATTTCTCCTGGTTATCATGTTTTTTTGTTCTTTTTGTGGGTTTATAAATGCTTGCTCTAACAGAAAATATTTGTTCCTCTTTTTTTGAATCCTGCCCACATAACTGGAACAGAAAATAGCATGGTATCTGACCAAAGTTTGAGCGCCAGTAAACACTATGCTCTATTTTAACGATCAATGGTGGGCAAACTTTTTAGACCCGAGGGCTACATCAAGTGTTGCAAACCATCATTATTGTTGTCAGTTATAACTGTTGTCCTTTCTCTCTTTTTACTCTCATATTTACCATCATAAATTAATAAGCATTGTTTTTACTCCCTACCTCTGACTGGTTTCTTTCTATATGTTTTATCCATATCTGTGACACTTGCTTCATTTATTGACTGTTATTGTTCCTAATGTGTGTACTCAGACCTGTCCACCAAGTTACCTTTACATGCATACACACACTCAAACGCACACACTCACGCACATACCAGTACCTGACTATATTGTTGTTGTTTTTGATTTGTTTTTGTTTCATTGGTTTGTATTTGTTCTTTGTTGATGTTTTCTTGTATTTGTATGATTTTTGCATATTCAAATAAAAAAAAAAAAAGTGTTGCAAACCAAGTGAAGGGCCACATGTCAAATTCTTCAAAAAATAACTTTTATTTATAGTGGCAGTATGCATGAAACATGTAATATCACACAGAAACATGTCACATTAACACAAAACTGATTTTTTAAATAGTTATTATTGAGTCAAATTTACAAGTCAAATTAATTTGCAATGCTATTTATATTTACTTATCAATCATCATAAAACAGCAAAGTAATCCCTTATAAAATATAATAATGGGCGAGGCAGTGGCGCAGTAGGTAGTGCTGTCGCCTCACAGCAAGAAGGTCGCTGGGTCGCTGGTTTGAACCTAGTCTCAGTTGGCGTTTCTGTGTGGAGTTTGCATGTTCTCCCTGCCTTCGCGTGGGTTTTCTCCGGGTGCTCCGGTTTCCCCCACAGTCCACAGACATGCGGTACAGGCCAATTGGGTGGGCTAAATTGTCCGTAGTGTATGAGTGTGTGTGTGTGAATGTGTGTGTGGATGTTTCCCAGAGATGGGTTGCGGCCAACACATTCTCACAGCACATCGTAACTTTTTCATTTAGTTGCTAATTCGTACGATCTAAATCGTACATTTAAGTATGATTTGCGTATCCCCCAATGACGGTTGGGTTTAGGGGTGGGGTTAGGTGCCACGCCTCCTTTTTAAAATCGTACATTTTCTTACGACTGAACTCATACGAAGTCTTACCAATTAGCCACTAAACTGCCAAAACGTAAAATACTTACGTTTTCTCGTGAGATCAGGCTGGTTGCGGCTGGAAGGGCATCCGCTGCGTAAAAACTTGCTGTCACGAAATGGGGATTGATCACAAAATGCAAAAATCCAAGTGCAGCAATTTATTATAACAAAGACTAGGGTTTCCAAAAGACAAAGCTTTCCAAACTTGAACAGAAATAAAGCAGGATGCAAATCTAGTCCAAACAAGAGAACAGGCAAAAATCCAAAAACGAGTAAATACAAAAACAGGGTAGGAGTGCTAAAGAGTGTTAACGAAAACAAACACAAAACAGGAATCCAAGAATTATCAATATACAAAAACTAGATGACCAGACAAAGATAACAAACGTGAGGAGCTAACAAAATCCTAAGGCAACTAAAACAGAGAACAATAGGGGTTTATAAAGACAGGACTAAATTAACAAACATGAAACAGCTGTAACATAACACAATCAGTGATACAAAGAATTATGGGGAATGAAGTGAAACTACAAAACAACCAAGTGCCCTCAAGTGTCCAAAATAGGGCACTGCAACAAGTGTGACACTTGCTGGATAAGTTGGCGGTTCATTCCGCTGTGGCGACCCCGGATTAATAAAGGGACTAAGTTGACAAACAAATTAATGAATGAATGAAAATATAATAATGGAATAATTTTTACAGTGGAGAATAGAAAAGATAATGTCTGATAGAAAAAAATCTCATATTAACACATATTAAAATAATTAAAATAATTCTTAATTCAGTCAAATTTACAATAATCTAATGTGCACTGCTTTTAGAATATACAGATCAGTCATCATAAAACTTGATGAAACCACAAATCTCTGCTAAAAGAACTTTTTAAAGTGGATGTATGCATAATACATGAGACATTTGATTGTACATTCATAAAGCAGCTCACGTAAACAACGAAAGTCACATTATTGTCTTATTCAGATTAAAGATAAAATCAGATAAAATCATTAGATCACTGATGTCCATGTAAAAGCAGTCACAAACTCCAAACCAAGAAAAAAGGTGTTCCCTGATTTTGATGACAGCCTTTCCACAGGTTAGTAGTAAGCTAATGTAATGTTAATAGCGTAATGCGAATCTTGCATTCATGCAAACAAACAAATGATCAAAAGAAACATATCAATGCAATTCAAATATATAAAGTATGAACTGATGTTTACTTTAAACTTATTATAAACATATATTTATATTGTTTAATTATAATGATAATTTTTTTTTTTTGTCAAATAATGTTGTGGCTAAAAAGCATTGGTTCAGGCATCGTTTTTACCATTTTAAAAGTATAGATTTAGCACCGGTATCAAAATAACCCCAAACGGTACCCAACCCTACCCTCTAGTGGCCAAAATTAATCACTGTGCATATAACATGTGGTTCATCTTAACATGGCAATAATGGAAACAAAAAATGCATTTGTAATTTGTGAGCTGTTGGCAAAATGACTCTTATAGTCTAGCTTGTAAATGAATCCTAGGTTGTTTAGTCTCTGTAGACTAATGTAGATCTACTGCTGATCTCCCATTTGCTGACATATTCTCATATTCAGAAGAGCTCGTCTGGTGAGCAGCAGGGCTGGGATGGACAGTCTAAGAGGAAAACACATTATTTACTGCCTGACTCTTGGATAAACAAACTCTTGTACATGTGTTGTGCTTAATTCTCCACTTACAGTGAGTGTGTTGTACACGTCAGGAGATCTGGACTGGAGGTCAAGACCTGCATATGTGTTTGCACTGACACCATCATTCTACAATGAAACAGAGAGAGTGAATAAAGAAAAATAAAGGTTTATTTTAGTATTTCACTGATTTTATTATGTGGTTCTTTAATCATCTCACCTCATACTCGTTTACTGGAGATATTCTGTTCATCCATTTCAGTCGACTGTCAAAAAAGCAAGTCATTATACTGTTTTATAAATAAACATTAAGATGTAATTCTGCATTAGTTTGATAGTCAATTACATGAATATGAGCTTTATTTTACTTACATTATGAATAGGATGATGATCATGATGAATATTCCAAACACCACTGCGATCACACTCCCAAAGCCTTGATGAACTGAAAGATGAAGCAGATCACGATTAACTCTCCAGACTGATGAAGTAACAGGAGGTGTGGTGATAAAAGCTTCACCAACAACAGAGACAGAAGACACAAAGTACTGGCACAGTTAACTCACACTGGACATTTAAAGTCACAGGATCAGAGTATTCATCTCCGTGTTCATTTGTGGCTCTACACTTGTATTCTCCACTGTCATTAAAGCTAGTCTTTGAGATGCTGAAAATGCTTCCAAATCCAATATATTTTGCTCCTTTATACCAGCTGATTTCTGCAGGTGGGTTTGAGTCGCTGCTGCAGCTCAGAGCCACTGAATCTCCAGACATTACTACAGCAGATCCACTGATGGAGATCACAGGAGTATCTGGAGCATCTGCAGGAGAAACATGTAAACACAAGACTCAAAAATAAATATGAAGATCAGTTTAAATATGCACCGTATACATCACAATAAACGTGTGCTCATGTTTTAGGTTAATGCTTTTTTGCTGTTTTTGTTTTAACAAGTTCATAATTAATCATATCAATTATGACAACTTGACATAAGCAAATATATCACACCTTGTCATAAATCTGTCATAAACATGAGTGTAGAAACGTGCTTGCGTGTGCAGCCCCTTTTAAAACTCTTTAAGTGCACATGCTCTACTGAGTGACGCAGCAGAAATGACGAGTCGATCAAAGTTGGAATTGTTAATGTGTGCATTACTGCTATTGACCTTATTCTAAAATGCGGAAGTGCACCTGTTTTCGCGATTGTCTTAGAACTTCTGATTCAGTCGCCTATGGAAGAAATGACTAGGAATAATAAACAGCAGAAAATGGTCAAACTACTTGCTCTACAAACAAATGTTTGCATGACTATACAGACCAAGTAGAATAATATAATAAGAAAATATCAAATTGCAACATCAAGCAGCTTAACGAGCAGTTTTTAACGTCAAAAAATAAATGGAAGTGAATGAGACCAAAAGTCGCGAGACAAAAATATTCAAATGGCAGCGCCCACTCGACGGCAGAGAATGAGGTGAATTAGGTGGGTAATATATGGCCATAATATTCACCAGAGACAGTTTGAGACATCCCAAGTCTCCCGGAAATGCATTGAGACACCCGAAATCCCACAAACGAATGATAAATCGTGTGTCTTCTGTCTGGTCCTTAAATAGTGTCCATCGCATCCATCCCAGCTCTTCAGGTACGTCAGGCGCAACTCAACCCAACCCTTCAGAACGCAACTCACCCCCACCGCTATTTCAAGAGTTCCCACTTAGATATGCTTGGCACTTATAGCAGGTTTGGCATGCTGTCGCGGGAGAGAACCCTGAGCTCGGAGATATGAGCCCAGGGCTCCCGCCCGGTCTAGAAGCATATCAGGAGAACCGAGATCAGGTAGGTCTCGATCGCTCCCCCTTTAGAAGGGGAGAAAAAGGAGGAGATGGGGTGGAAGGGGGGATTCTTCCAAAATGAAGATAGTGCAATGGGGAGAAAGTGATCCATTTATACTAAGCTAGGATCATTCTGATTGGATTATTACTGATTATGGATGAGTGGCCAGCGGTGCACAATCATATCACGTGCTCCTCTCGAAATTAGTTTA